TAAATCCCACCCCATTTTACGCAGTCCACGCTCGGCTTGGAGGCAAATAAATATCCGCCGCATAACCGGAATACCTATGGAAATATTACCTCAGAAATATGTTCGGGAGCGAATTGAAAATGAGCAGGACATTTGATACAAGCCGTCTGTGTGCCAGCAGACATTTCGAATGTTCTATTACTGTTGGAATCTGGGATGAGAGTCGATATTTTATTTTTATTTTATAAGAATGCAATTGTATTAATTTTTCATTTAGAATTAACTCTGATCAATTTCATTTAGAATTAACTCTGATGAAGCTTTCCCTTCATCCATATTGCAGATTTTAACTTAAAAAAGGAATAGTAAATCGAGCTTATTTAATTCAGAGATCGTATCGTAATTTTATCGACTATAAAAAGTGTTTTATAACCTATCGTGTACATATATGGAAAAAATACATAAATCATGTGCGTTTAGTAAAAATAGCTTAAAAGTAATTGACTGAATAAGAAACGCGTTTTTTGCACTCGTTTGACAGAATATTTGACTTGACCGATTTATAAGAGCTTTAACGTTCATTTTTAACGTAGTTCTTATCACACACACAGTGCACTTTATCAAATGTTACGCTAGTGTCGGGTTTGATTAGCGAGTATTTGGAAAATATTATCAACAGAGTTACATACTTTTGAATGATTTTATCTTCTAACCTTCTCGTGTGTTGATTATCTCTTTGCGAGAAGCCGCTTTTGTGTTGTTCTTTAAATTACACAATTTGTTGTAAGAAAGAATATTTTTCGCAATCTTTTTCCACTATTTGTGTTTAACTGTTATATCTTTGGATTGATAGAAATGTCGATATAGTCGATGGTATATAATATACGACATCGGTATAAGTCGAGATAGCAAATGGCTTTTACGTTTTCCTGCTCGATTGTTTTTCTTACAATTCTTTAATCTAAACGCTAAAGTAATTACAGTTTGAAGCAGACATTCTTTTAACTTGTTAAAGGTAAAATATAACTATGATAGATATTTTTGTCAGAATTACTTGATCAAAATGACTGAGGTATACAAATAAATTTGATAGCAGTTTTAATTCGGTAAAAAAGTGATTTTAAGATTGTTTTACGGCGGAGAAGTTTAACCCATTTGCCTAAAATTTCAATTTTCGATATTAAATATTTGATGAAACCAGTAATTAACTCTTTATTCAATTTTAATTAAGCTTCTTGATTGAAAAATTAATGGATATATATGTATTAAAGAATGAAAATATGCTTGAAGGATTGAAATATATTTTTTGATAATCAGAACAATTAATAAAATAATTATTAATTAATATACATGATTTTAATTAATAATTAATATACGTGTATATTATATGCATGCGTATATTAATAATTAATGATATTATTGATCCGGCGAGATACTAATCAAGCTCGTTGATACGGATTTTATTGACTCAATCGTTCTCGAACATATTTATTTCTTTGGATTATAAGCCGCACTAAGAGTATCATTGCTCTCCTTTGTTGGGAATAGAGTTTCATTCGCGTATCGATGTTTGCTGTTATACTTTCTGCGGGTGGTCGAGACATGAGCTAAAACATGAGTTCTCTTTATGGAGTAGCATTGTTCGAGCTCTGATTTCTGTCCCGATGACAAACACGGGCGTCGATTTACTGGGGGACTCGATTCAGAACAGGCTCGATTGTTCGAAGTCCGACACGCTTCTGGTATTACGTTTTTGTCCTAAGTTATCGCTTAAGTTGTTATCGCCTTGATTGACGTATCTTATTTGTTTAGTTTATCGTGTCATAGTTTATCATAATGTCGAAAATTTTTTCCAAAATTACCTATCATTAGTTTTCTAAACTAACGATAGACGTTAAACGAGGAAAGATTTATGCAATAAACTCTGTGTGTGTGTGTGTGTGGCCGAGATTCAAATTTGATACAGTCAAAGTTAAATAAATGTTTTGCAATATATTTATTCCGCGTCATCATACCATCTTGCTATAAAGATTCGTAGCTTTCACATATTTTCTTATCTCTGTTTTATAATATTTCTCTAATTTTAATATATTTGTTACGTTATATAAAACATTTATATTGTCAAATTAGCTTGTCTGGAAATTAAAAAAAAATAGGGTATTGGTGGCAATTAAATAAATAGTTTTTAAACATTTTTCTATTTTTTTAATTTTGAGCAAACGTTGTGCTTATCTTGTTTCGTGTCTTGGTAAAAAATCCGCTACCACTGTTCTCGTATACATTAAAATATGTATACTTCAATGTATGCGAGAACAATCTTCTCTTTCGCATTGTATCTCTGTGACGGTGACCTTATCTTTAGGGCAAGTTAACAAAGAAGGGGAAGATAAAGGAAAATGGAAGAATGATAAGACCTTCTCGCAAATAATGGAAAAAATATTCATATTGCCGCTCGAACGATAACACGCTACCATAAAAATTGCCGTCGTTATACTATTCCTGGACAAAATCGAGCTCAAAGCAAGTGGCCTCTTTAAAACGAATCACGGATATTATTTCTATCCGGTGTATATCGTTTTTTTCCTCTTTCTCTCTCTGTCTCTCTATATCTCTTTTTTCTTTTTCATATGATAATTGATTTTTCTCAATTTGTTCAAATATATCCAACGTTTATCGCTCAGAATGTTTGTAAAAATAGTTTCTTATTTCTGAGATACATTGGCATTGCATATTTATGTAACGAGATTCGCGACGTATAACGCAGATTATATTCACAAGGAGATCTAAAAGTCATTATAACGTTGATACTTGGATTGAATATAGACTCTGTTATGATTTTCTTTATACAATTAAATGTATATCATGCATATCTTCATATCTCGAATTAATTTTGAAAGTAATATTAGTTTATTTTTTTACATTGAGATATTATTTGTATTTTGTATAATGGCTATATAGCGATATTACAATAAAGAACTCATTGACTAACAGATAGAAGCATGTATCTTTGAAAAACATCAAGCGTTTTAAACAAATTGAACGGTAAGCGTTACACAAAAAAGCAGAATATCATACATAGCTGAAACAGTTTCTTAGTAGAAAACAAGGAAGCGGAGGAAGGATATTATTTAACCATGATATAACTCTTTTTCACAGTAACAGTAACTTTAATTTTATCTATTTTATCTGTAATCTAATACATTTTTTAATGTAAAGCTTTAAACGTGTTTTTTTTTTAATCATATTTTTTAGATTAGTTTATATGATTTCAACAAACAAACTAATGAGGCTAAAATTTTACATATATATAAAATACATCATAAGCACGTAGCTGTTTTTCTATTTAAAAAATATCATTATTTTTATACAAAAATGTAATATTGTAAGAAGTCAATAATTATGTACATGCAAAATTTCAAAATCATAGAGATGTAATAGCTTTTTCAGAATAAATTTTCTAAAAGTTATGCTCAAAAAAATTATTAGATTCTAATAAACTAATCCATAGATAAAGAGACATGTATTTTATATATCTGTAAAATTTCAGTCTGATTGCTCTTTGAAAATTTATATGAATCAATTTGAAAAAACGTGTTTTTGAGAAAAGCACATTTATAATTTTGCGATAAGATTTAAGATGGATAAGAGATTGAATAAATTTTCTTAACATTGATTTAAGCTTTTAACGTTGTATTCTCTATGGTTGTATAAAGAAGAGATACTTTTTTCCCCTTAAAACTTTATTGCCTTATTAGTAGTCCTTAGCTTTAGGAGTTTTATGTGTTTTGTTTCGACGCATCGAACGCTCATCGTACAGTTCTCTCGATGTGTCATGTTGCATTAACATATGCTTTTGTATGTGATTCAATAGTGCGATTCTCATTATAGATATTACTTTAATATTGACACATATAGTTCTAATTGAAAATATAAATAGCTAAGATTTCTTTGGGGGAGAAGGACTATTCCTTATTCGTTTCTGACTCACAATATAAAGTCTAAGACAAATTAATGCGTTAAAATTTTCATGATTATGTATTTTGTATATATGTTTTTTAAAACATTTCTTTGATAAATTTTTATTTGATAAATTTATTAATTGTTGAGAAAATTGTAAAAAATTTAATATCCAGGCTGACTGGATTATCAGGATCTTTGGAATTTTTCAATTCTCAATTTCTTTGGACTTGTATATATATATATATATATATATACACATATATAGCTCTCAACAATAAATTTATTATCATAAAATTCTTTCCTATTTAATGTACTCTTTTCGCCATATTTTGGCACTGAAACTATCTTATACAGAGCGTGACAGCATATATTAATCATTTCTTATTGTTAGTAACTACATATATGGAAATATTGGAGCTTTGGGGAAAAAACACATACATATGCTTACAAAATTTGGTGTGTGCATATATATTAAAAATAGTACAACCCAAATACATATCTTTTGAAGAAAAAACAAATATCAAGAAATCCTATCTTATCCTAGATGTGTTCTTATTTTCATCTATGATACGATATGCTCTCTATTTCTACAAATATAACTTTAATATCATTAAAAAATATATGACTCATAATACATATACTAATATTTAACTTTGTACATATTTCGGGTTTTACTGAAATATGTTTAGATGAAAATGAAATATAAGACGCATTTTCAAAACCTTGAATTTCAAGAGAATACAATAAAAGAAAAATTGATCTTTTACGACTTGGAAAATCGAAACACTTCTACCTGCTCTTTAGCTCATTAAAAAAAGCTTTCAAAGATTCAAAGGAAACTTGAACGTAACAGATTAGATAGAGATTCCGAAGATAACTGATTTTGTAAAAGCAGTGAGATTAGATCTCTGGAATGCTTAATAAACACTTTTACGCATTAATTGATACAATGTTCGTGGGGGATGAATCACAACCGTATATTAATGCTTTGATGTATATTTGCCGCGACCACGCTCCGCCACCGACCATGGACCAATCGGCGTGCATCTCGGTCGGTCCGGAGTACAATCGCAACGGACGTATACAGCGGACGTAGACGTAGACGCGCGCAGTCCGCCAGTTGGTAGCGACGCCGTCGCTTGGCCGTTCACAACCTTCCACCTTCCACTTTAGTCTCGCACGCCGTTCAGGCAGGACGTGTTCCTCCGTTCTTTGGCTCGCTCGTGTATTAGGGTGCACGCGCCAAGTGTACGTAACGCGCCTCCCACGTCGGAAACTTATTTTCGATGCTCGCGGCAAGTTGTAACGTCAAAGTGCATCGCGACGTTCGTTGGTCTTATTTGCAAATTACAAGATCGTCATTGTATTAAAACTATTCTCACGTGGCGAGAGATTGCAATTTTTCGGTAGTACAAAAGGTAAGTGCGAGAGGAAAGAAAGGATACAGGATGCAGGATGTATTATTTTATGTACGGATTTTTTAACGATCGAGACATGGCTCATTTAAAACAATTGGCGCGATATTTATTTCGTATTATTCTTATCGTATAAAATAATTATTTTTTACTTATAATATTGTGAGACAATTAGAAATTGTGCATTTTATTTAATAATTAATTATATTTATTAAATAAATAATAAGTTATTTATTTCCTTATCGTATAAAATAATTATTTTTTACTTATAATATTGTGAGACAATTAGAAATTGTGCATTTTATTTAATAATTAATTAATTAATTAT